GTATGTTTTGATTCAAATATCAGCATGTATAGGCCTAAACTGCTAAATTGCCGAAATTGCTGAATTCTTCGAACATCTCTGGGTATATGACGAGATCTTTGGTAACGCAAGAGCACCATAAAATTATACAACAATCTCTTTTTAGTACAAGAAGTATATATTTGTTTACACATTTTTAAAATTAGAATTACCTAGAGTGTGTGCTGCCGTTATAACGAGTCATTCTATCGAACAAAGAACAAGGGACCTGCAACATTTTTAATGGCACAATTTAATTGGTACTATATTATCCTGTGAAATGTCACCTGTTAAAGTGTATTAATGAGCAGCCACAATACCATTTAATACCGTGGTGTCATTGAAGGCAGTCTGGGTAGTTTGTTTCATCATCTTAAGGTGCAAAGACCGCCATGTGTAAACACAAATTGCCAAATTTAATGTCGTAAATTATTTTGTGGCGCGTCAAAAGGGTGCAAAAGTAACCGAAGGATTCTTAGGGAGACTTAATTACTTGTGCAAATAATCCAGTCCTCCGAAAGAAATTCAAATTATAATCAAGTGGGAAATCTAAACTCCCGATGGTTCCACCAGAAATGGGTTTTATTTGGGAATAAATCAGCGTACAAATTGAACAATAAACAAATTTACATCAGTCTAGTCGAGAACAGTGAATGTATAGCTGCGTTCCATCATGGGGTGGCTGGAAATCATTGCTAATCAGTTCTAATCAATCATATTACTCATTATATTGTTAATTTTTCATTGAAAAATTGCAAGCAATTTTTTACTTCATAGATGTGATGTTCGTTTTGTTATTATTAGCTTTCCTCTTTCCATTTTGTATAGAGAAATTGATATAAATCTCGACTAAATGAATAATGGATAAGACACTGATTTCAGCATAATTGGCTGAAAATATTGCCCTGAAATTATTGGCATTGAAAGGTGGTTGTAATGTTACAAGGAAAACTTGAGAGACGTAAACTTTGATCAAACAGGAACAAAGTATCCTATAAAAGGCCCATCACATTCATATTCAGACGAAAGCTATGTGGAACAAAGGGGTACAATATTGAAAAAAAAATGTCAGCTTGTTGCAAATTTGACTATTTCCAAGGTAAATCCAGTTACATGTTTGAAAAAGTTAATATTTCTCCTCTAAACCAAAAGGATTTTTATTCCGTGAAAGCGAATTACCCCTGGTCTTTTAACTAAGATAGGCAGCGAATAATTATTTTGTAAACAGGTAAGGATTTTCCCTATTAAATAATAGTATCTCTTTCGACGTATTACAACCCTTTATCAGAAGTGAACACAGAAACAAACCTTGTAAGCAAGATCTAATTTTGTGTAAGCAGTCTCTATAAAAAGACTCAACATTTGGTAAATACAGCTTTTTTTCAATAAGAAAACAGCTATTAACTTGGCAATTGCAAAATGTAATGGCATTTAAAAAAATTGTCTTCAACTATATTGGGTATCAAACATTTATTTATATCTCGCATTTGCGAAAAAAATATTGTTGTTGAGGCTCTGCAGACGAAAAGAGCTTGAACCTCATGTTCTTCGATCATCAGAGTCATAAAAATCCACTTTTATTACTTGAAACCTGAGCTCATGTTAACATATTATATGCCTCTCGAGAACATGAGGAGATATAAGACAAACAACAATCAACTGATACCACGTCATAATAAGGTCAAAGGCCACGCTACCATGCTCCATGACCTAATTATAGCTACCATGTTTTGTACGTCAATTCCTGGCCATATTTTTGTGTCTTATATTTTGCCGTTGTTTAAGTACGGCAGATGGGTGATAGGATTGTGCCTTTGATGATACAAGCATGGCATTTGGCACACAGTCAGAGCATGACATGAGTATATTTGGCTATAGGGCCATCGCAGATTTGTCCTTTGAAAAAAAATAGGTAGAATAACCAGCAATGGCAACCATTTTGAAAATTTTGAAAATTCTACCTATATTTTTTCAAAGGACAAATCTGCAATGGTCCTATTTAGCCAAATATCTTTCTTAAGACATACTCTGTGTGCCAAGTGCCATGCTTGAATCATCAAAGGCACAATTCCCCCAAATATTTCCCCTATCTGTCCCACTATTGAGGTTGTAATAAAATCATGTATACTACCGTCTGCATTCCTTTGTGATTAGCATCACCTGTTCAAATCACCATTTTGATCAAATGCTTTCATATCTGTATTTACATCTCGTTGTTTCGCCATTTCATAGCAGCGGCGGATTACAGTCGGTATTGATCTGTGTCTAGTGGTATTCACAGATTTCTATCAAGTTTGATACGGATTCACCATCATTGGTATTTTTTATGACAAGCAAAGCCAAAGCTAGCGTAATGTTTATACGAGGCACCGTTCCAATTTGAGTCCCAGCCCCCATTTATTAACTTATTTAAGTTTATTCAAACTACCAATAAAGCTGACAACTTTCAAATATTCTTAACATTACATTTTAGTAACCATTCAAATTACTCTAACTCTGCTTCCCCAATCCAACTCACCCGCCCCTCCCTGTCCTCAAATGAGCGTCGAATTCCACCTTGGTTATTTTTTGCACCTGTTTATTTTTTTCATTAATTAACTAAAACGTGTTTAAGTGCCCACCACAAAAGATATACACTAGGATTTACGATACCTAGTTGATTTATTTATCAATCATCTGATCATTGATGATATAGTAAAACCTTTGGGATTTCCGTATCAAATTGACTTCCCTTTCATGAATTTTCAACTTTCATAGATTTTTTATACCAGCTTGAGGGTTCCGATTTGTCAGACAATACATTGTTTTACTTGTCAATTTGTCAGTGCCACATCTTTTGCACAGTGGGAGACGTATATTAATGAGACGTTCAACCCCTAAATCCGTTTGTAAAATAGCCCCTAGCTTTTAACCATCAATCAATCTTATGAGGTTTTTTTTTATTATTCCTCTTTTGCAGGCGGATTTCGAGTCAATTTTTACGGCATGTTTTACAGCAAATGAAGAAAACAGCAACATTAGAGCAGCCAAGTGCTAGTAGAATGAATACAGTAATGAATTATGTAAAATGGGTCTCGTACGCTTTAACGCACGAAAAACAGAGAAATATCGTTCAATACTTTATTAACACCGGTGTACATATTTCTTAATCGAGCAGTGCAATGTGTATTAGATTCGAATTAAAACAAAACATGGAATGTATTATGTAACGGTTGGGATGGTTGTTTGGTCTGAATCAGGCTGCAAAATCCCCCTTCACTTTCTTACTTGAACCCTAAATTCACACCCATAAAACAATAATCACAGATTAAGTTAATGAAACTTGTTAAGAAATTGGAAACAATGCCCTAGATTTTCGAGGGTCCAGAGTTTAACGGTTATTGTGTTTGATTTCCTCTTGTATGTGTCGTGTGGAAGGGACTCAATACTACTTATGCATAGTATGCACAGCTGGGATGAACAAAGATAGAGTGAACAGCAACAATAGATTAATGAATGCATTATCATAAAGCTAAAACAGTAAATATTCAATTTGATGAGCGGGACATTTTTAAGGAGCATAAAACGTGACCAAATGCCGGCCTGAGCTGTTAACAGTTGCTAGGCTATGATTGAAAGCAGTTGAGTGTCATATAATGTCTGTGGGCAATATCCAAACAGCACGATGCCCGCACCGTGCTTTCATCTTCGGCCGCCACCTCAGACAACCACACCGTTATGGTTGTAACTCAAAAAAGGCGTGATTCGTTACTATGGACAAAATATTACCTCGGTATCCTTTCTGTCGTCACGTGTTGTGCGAATCGTGCCACGGTGGAATGAATTGAGTTGTAAACGAGACAAAAACAAACACAGAATTGTGTATTTCATTCAAGGGAGGAGAAAAGGGGTGACAAAATCAGAGCTTATTTGTAAATCGGGAGGCACGGGTATAATACTTGCAATGTAACAGAACACTGATATTGTCCCAAAGGGATTTTGGTACAGTATATTTCGCTCTCTTGTAAAATAATACTAGTATTACTTAGGAAAAGTTGGCTTGTTGGTAAGCGTAAAATTTAATTTGCTGGTCTGCCAGGACCCGGGACGTCACCATGTATTATGTAATTTGAAATAATGAAAATGTATCCAATTTCTGAATCATTTATTCAATAATTCGATTCCCCTTTATACTAGATCCAAGGCTGAATCCACAGTGTCAATTTTATAATCGAAGGTTCAAAGTAGAATTATACGTGTTCACTTCGAAGCTTGCTTTTGTCGGAGTACGTGGACAACAAAGCATTTCAATCAAGGCAAATTTAGTCTCAAGGTTATCGGTTATAGTCCGAACAAAACGACGACCGTCGAACGATAAATAATACCCAATGGCAGAGCCAGATGCTTTTTCTGCCAGACAAATACTAAAGAAATATCGAAATATGGAGATATCATCAACACAGTGTTATAGGAGAACAATCATGATTGGAATCATTTTGTATTAAGCAATCAGTTTACCCCCAAGTGGCCTTACGAGAGAATCTCGCTTGAGCTGAACAACAAACTCAACTCTTTTGTTTAAATGACTCGGTTTGATCCTCACATCAGTTGACAGTGATCTCTATGATAGAAATATTAATTATAAATATTGGACTATATTATTTTTTTCTAGTACAAGTCGTTAAAATATGACTTTGTTACAGCATGTCACAATCGTGGGGAGTTTCAATGTTCTCAATTGACACTTAACATAGGGAATTGAGATAATATAAAGAATATAATAGTAATATATTGGTCGTTCCTTGTTAAATTTTTAATACTTTTCAAAACTGAAAATCAACACCTATTTTTTATATGGTGCAAAAATGTCAGAAGCATATCTGTGTGGGAAAATCCTCTTGACTGTGCAATTTTACGATTGTGAACGAAGGTCAATCCCTGTATAGAACAGGCCGTCAGCCACTTGTCATCTAATAAATTTTCCAGGCTTAATCTAACCTCACCTTCACTCTTGGTGACTGACTCCGTACTCGTGGTCGTCTGCTTGGAAGATTCCTTCCCGAGTGGAGGGCTCGTGTTCCCCGTGGCTGGTGCGGCTGTGTACGCTGTTTGGGTCTTTCCGCTCCCCTGTTGGCCTGCCTTCACCGAAGTGCCGAAGGTGGGCGAGTCGTACGAGTCGAAGTTGCCGTAGCGTTGCCTGTCCGTATCGGCCGTACCGCTGACGAATTTCGCGGCAAAGCTGCCGGCGAAGCTGGCTGGTAGTCCGTGGCCATTGTGAGCAGAAGTGTGGTAAACATTCGTAGAGTGATTTGTGTATCGTTCGTATGCCTGCCGATTGAGGGTGTAGTAGCTTCCTGAGCTGGGCACTAGGGCTGTATCGTACCCTTTTTGGGAGCCGACGTAGGGGTACGAAGGGTTGTTTTCGTAGTCCTCACTCACTCCTGCAACGGACATTGGTGGGTAGTGGGTCATATCACCCGATGAGTATAACCATGGGTTGGTATAGCAGCTTTGGTCGGTAGCTAACGAGTACATGTTGGTAGCTGACGGAGGCCCGGCGGCCGGCGGCATGTTGTGGCCGGCGACAGCCTGTGCCGGCGAATCGGCGAATTTGGGGGCGAAGCTACCACTGCCGCTGGCACATTTGGTGGCAGCGAGTCCAGGCGAGCCATGAATGTCTGTCTGCTGGCCGGATTTCAGGATGGCACCACTCTCCCCTGAATTTATCAAGGAATTCACACAAAACGCCGAAGTTGTCATTTTAATGCCGGTCGTATTTTTCTGGCGATGCTATTCCGGCTGAACCAAGTCACTCTGGGCGATAAACCTTATACGACCCTGCTGGTATAAAAACATGCAAAAGAGAGGGGGCTTCAGTCAGTCACGTGGTACATTTAGACCAATCAAGCATGGCTATCCGCACCTGGAGTCGCAGTGCGAACGTCCAAGGTGGTGTAAAATAGCTCAGTTTTATTTGTCAAAATTGGATGTCCTCTGCTTCATAAAGTCGTAAATGCGAGAGTTTATGACGGCATAAAATTTGGAAAATAAAACTGCCGGGGCGTTAATAAATCGGTCCCGGTCCGAACTGGCTCATTTTCGGTTCCGAGTCCGTGAAAGATGAGTGCTGTTCACCGTGCGGTGCGCAATATTTTGGCTCCAGCGTTCCACTCGACACCAGGTCTTGAGCCCAGTATGCAACGGCGCACAGGTAACCATTTTCCGTGTACGTTTAATCTTACTTCGGTGTGAAAAGTAAACATATGGGCAGCGAGCCATGTGATTGGACAATTCAGCTGTTGGAAAGCGCATAGATTGCGCCGTGCTTTGACTTTGGGTGTGGGGTGTACGCTGACTTTGAGTCAGTTCACTGTCACATGTGTCGGGAAGCAATCAGTGAAAACTGATTAATTCCTCGAAAAGAAATCTTATTTTAACAGCGATAGCTTTTGCAGTCTTCTTCGTTTGAATTAATTACAACGGTTTTTAAGGCACTTAGGCATATAACATGTTATATAAGAGTAAAACAAAATAGCAAGGATGTTCCATCCAAAAATAACCTCATAAAATAACTAACTTTTCGACCAAAAATTGCATATGCTACTAATTCAAAGCAATGGTGTGCTAAACCGTTTATTAATTCTTCTGTATTGTTTTATCAACCATTAATGACACTATTTTGGCACAGTTAATTGTGTAAATGATTACGATTACTTTATTCGCGACATCCTCCATTAATATTTAAATCAAAACAATATCCTAACCTAATACAATTTTTTTTTAAGTGTTATTTTTAAATGAGGAAAAAGTCTGTCGTATTTTCTTGCTCCTGGACGAGATGGAATTAAAAAATAAACAGATTTTTCATCATATTTCCCAGTGGAAATTTCCCCAGTTGCTTTTGCAGTTTAGCACAATCAATAAATATATTTCTTTTTTATGGCCGTTTAAAAATGGCCATTTAACCTGAAAGAATGAACCAGAAATATTCTGACCTCGTCGGGTTCCTCTTGACGTCTCGAGGGAAGGCTACGGTATCGATTTCGGTCATTGCGAAGCTAAACCATTACGCAAGGGAGCATTTCCATCCAACAATTTATGAAGTCTGTTTTCATCCGTTCAACTTCTTTGGATGTTGTTGATTTTCTTCGCAAACGTTTTTGTGCACGAAATAATCAGAAGAAATATCGCAGTGACGGTAATACTATATAAATGTTGTGTTTCTTCGAGTTTCATTTAAATGATTAAGGTTTTCTTTTTTAAGAAAGTGCTGTCAGCACACTGAATGAAACGATAAGTAAACTCGAGGGGTCGTGTATTGTAAGACGCAAAATATTAATGTACACAGTGCTAACTAAAGAAATGTTTCAACATCAGTATCACTTTCAAATCAACCATGCGGAAACCGGCGATGGGTAAACCAATCCACTTCCCAGTAATTTATTTCATACGCCGTCTAAATATAACAAGGAATTCCTTTTGGTTTTGAAATGAATCTAATTACGTAATTTGTGACTTTAGAAATCTAATCTTCCACTTGTGTTTTGATAAGTGATCTGATAGTAATATGTAGTTATATTATGTAATTTATAGGTACAAGTTCAAAACGCACGGCACAGTTGGGGAAAATCGACAACAGTTTATGGAATGTCTTAAGGCTATATATAATGTATTAAGTGAGTGCTAAGTAGGCAAATTTCCTGAACAAAATATTTTCCGATAGATCACAAAATCAATGCCATATATGATAGAGGCGTGGGGAATAATGCTGTTTGAAATCTGGAATATGGCACATGTTGCACAAGAATCAGAAAAAAAACACCGTCGATTGTTTCCACCAACCTCTACAGGCCATCGCGGTCACTTTACGGCAGCTTGCGCCGTCCTCCGCCCGCTGAATAAATCCGTCAGTGCGCGGAAACTTAAGGTTTCGTTCCGGTGTTTTAGCCGCCGCGGAAAGATGAGAAACGCTGCGGCTTTTCCCCACAAAACGATTGTTATGGGGAAATCAGCTTCACATATCAGTGAGGCAAATTTGACAATTACTAAGTTCCGGAACCAGGAACCCATTTTTAACAATACCTTTCCTCTGAAATTGCGATTTTCGTTTTCAGACAAAATCGTATTTTGAAACCGTGAAATGTAGCATGTATAAAACTTTAGGCTTCATGGGTAAACATCTATCGTTTTCCCTGTTTAGTTTAAATAACATTTGTAAATCAGTTTAAAAACCCTACTTTTTCACAATCAAAAAGGAACAACACCACTTTTTTCTTTTCTTTTTGGTGGACGACCAAAATGGTGAGAGGGGAAGGAAGTAAGTAAGATAGCACAACGGCCTTTTTATGATTTTCATTATTTTGATCAGCTTGCCGGAAATGTTTTACTCGCTTCGAGTTACAGCATAACAAATAAAATTTCGTCCAATAGTTTTTTATTTCTTCGTGGATTTGACTTTCAGAACAAGCACCTTGCAATTACTTAGTAACATTTCATATCCAACGAAACCTCAATACGTTCCTCCTTAGCTAGCGGTTTTCACGCTCATTTTCACTCGCCAGGAAAAAAATGATTTGGTAATTATTCATCATTAGAGGAGAAACAGGATATATATACAGGGCCAAGTTTGGCGACCGAAGCATCGGCGAACAATAACCTAGAGCAGGAAGAGGTTAAGCCGGGTTAACTGCTAAATCAATTGGGGCAAAGAGGCTGATGATGGGTCCAACAGGCCCCGGGCTCATGGGTCGATTTCCCCCGTTCAATCACCGACCGTCAATCCCAGATCACAGTAGCAAAACTAAGGCCGGGTGACATTCTAAAATTGTTCAGCATAAGGGCGTGACAGAACACCATCGCAAGTGACACACCCTTCACCCTTCCCCACATATCATTTAAAATATTTTCCCATGAATTTTTAAAACCTTAATCCAACGTGTGTATGTTGGAATACAAAACCATTATACCTCTCTACTATTATAATTGTCTTTCATGTTCATATCGCATGCAGCTCATTTGAAGTGATTGCTATGCGGTGACTCAAAATATGCAAATTTGGAATGTCAAGGATATTCTAAGAAATTGTATTGTGACTATGATAGCACTACATATGTTTAACTTTACCACAAATAATGAGGTTTTGAGACCACCCAGAAAGATAGCAGCAGTACCATTTTAACTAATCTATTTTTGGTAATTGTTAAGCTTCAGAGAAACCTGAGCGGTTTGAACTCTGGGTGATTCTGCTTGATTCTAGGTGGTTTTTCTCCAGAAAACTTTCGGTCTTGCTCTCAGTCTCAGGGTGCTTCCTGGTGACGATCAGAGCAGTGGTCAGAACATTAATACAGAATCGTGGGGGAAAATGAAACTACATATCGATTTCGAATCCTACACCTTGCGGACTATACTCTCTCCTTACATTTGATAATCTTAACATTACAGGTGTTAATTGTTTCGAGAATCATGTATGACTTGACAAAAAAGATCTTTGTATCGAGAACATTCAATTAATATCTGCGGTTTATTCACGGAATGCCCTGCTCTACACTTCCTGTAGACCCAGGGGTCAGTACATTACCCATGGGTCCTAGCTCTGTGGTGTTACTATGCAAAAACAGAAGCCCCTAATTTAAATCCAAAGAGTTAAAACGGTTTAGGCCACAGGTTGTTTGACAATGGACAGATAAATGTCCCCTAGCAGGGGTGCTAATTACTTGATTGAATCATCTCCTCACATGACGCCCATAAAAAGCACTTTGAAGCACCGCACGCTCCTTTTACCGAACACCGCTAAATGCTGAGCCGGTCCGAGCAGCGTTCCCGGCTGGGGTATCGCGTTGCCTCTAAATAGCCTGCCCACCTAACCTAATTAGCACCATGGCAAGGGAGATAATACTCGGCAGCTTCGGATTTGTTTAGGGTAAAGGGGGACCGCTTAATTACATCCGCATGGGAAGAAGGGGCAAGCTGGACATTGTCAAGAGATGGTGATATGTCTGGGTTTGGGGTATTTGTGACAAGAACGTGCATGTACACCGACCGCCCGTGGCTGCCAGCTCGTGCGTGCGAAGCTCTTCCTGGCCAAAATGTTTATCGACTGAAAAGATGAACTATCTGCCGTGCTTGTAATAAAGCAGTTGTTGGCCGTTCCTCACCACCAAAGTGCCCCACCCGGCCACCCCTCACCAAAAACAGATTCACGTTGGGCTGAGGTCATTAAGTCTTCAGAATATTAAAATGTTCCATGTTATCTTCTTCATATTTGTTTTGACAATGAGCTTATCAGTCATTTTCAGAAAGTTATCTCAAATAGTTTTGCAGTTCTCATTATATACAGTTTGGGCGTCCATGACAAACCAAGTGGTCCCTGTGATAAAAGAAAATGACACTGTACCTGAAATAACGCTAGGCCTTACTCGCAAAAAAAGACATTATGTACTATGAAATGATGAGTGTAATGTTTCACCTATTAAGTTCATGTCAATAAAACAGGCGTATTTAAGGGGGGGCGTGGCTAACCACCTCTCCGTCAAGTTAATTATTTACATATTGCTGGATAAAATCCCAAAGGCCAACACCCGGATTTCAACGCATCAGTTACCTATCTGAAAATTGTGAATGAAATCTTATACCGTTTGTGATTCCGCTCTTAGACCTATACTTAAATATGTTAAAGGTGGAAATCTATCGCAAAACCCCGAAATTGAGTAACACTGTTATTTAAAGAAAAAAAATTAATTAACAAAGTTCTTACAAGAATTATAAAAACAATACTGTAATTACATCAATTCACGCCATTTATAAGCCTCGGAGTGGCTCTATTCTTTTGCGCTGGCAAAGAAAACAGGGCTTGGAGTGATCTTCAGATGAAATTATTTGCGTTTTTTAAGTTGCGATTGAGACAAATATAGGCCTACTCCGTTCTTAATAATGACCTTTTTTTAGTGAAATTGTCTTTTCCAGTTTTGCTAATCTTTTAACTGAGTCTGTAGTAGAATCAATTGAGATGTCATCAAAGAATGCAAACTCTCTTGTGGTAAGTCCCAGTTATAATAGACGCGCCTCCTGTAATAATTTCTCCTGCTTAATCCATAAATCAACAGGTCTGATGAGTCAATATATCTAAGGCCATAGACATACTGCTCCCTTAACGCTATTAATTGTCAAGTCTAACATTAACGAGCTGATAGCCACCCGCGGAAGCGAGAAATCTCCTTACACTAAACCAGAGCAGCGGAGTCGTAATCTGCCCGGGACGGGAGCAAGCGAGCCCCGGGGAGCTCCCGGCCTGTCACTGGCCGGGAGACGGTAAGGGGTGGCCGGGGCTGACCGCCTACGGCCGGAGCTGGTGTTGTACGGGGCACGTGGTGGTGAGGATTATCCGTTGAAAGGATAACAGCGGGGTTTGACACCGATATGTCTGCCAACTTCAAGAAACACAATCCATAACTCTCTCAGTGTTAGGATTTATAAGACCCACATTGTAAAGATACATTTGGATATTTTTGTGTCTGCACGTCACAAATAACTGAAATCATCTTTAGATCACTAATCACATCTTTAACATTCAGCGTTATAATAGATAAGAAGTCGTAATAAGCAGACAATAACCATGCCACCCACAGCTTTGACAATTAAAGCCACCATTTTTATTTTTGCGAAGTACTGGTTCGACTTCGCATTTTTTTTCTTCAGCTCCACTAAATTGATATTTTTTTTCTAAGTTTACTTAATGTTCTAATTCCTTTCTGAATGTTGAGGACTGTAGAATCGTTAATGTGATGGCTCTGTGTTTCACTAGGCCTAATTACAGCTGTCAGAACCTAGAAAGGGATGCCTGGGGAGTGTTATGAAAACGGGGGGCCACAGCTCTGACTGTTTCAGCCCAAGAAAAACCAGTGAATCACGGCGCTTGGACGTTCCGCATCGTCGGCTGAGAGAATTAAAACGATCAATTAATAATGAGCAAGGAATTAACACGGTCCAACAGCCCGTTAAATCCCAGCTCGTATATAAAAATTTCAGAATTTCCATGGGAGAACCAAAAAGGGCCATAATTAAACCGTAATCTATGGTTTTCTCTAAGAGTCGGTCCCCTGTTTAGGGTCAGTAACTGGGTACGATTCCAACAATCAAAGATTAATACAACGCCAACTTAATATTTAACAAATTGCCACGAAATGTGTACCCCCCGTTTGCTGTCTTTTCTTTTTTTGATTGAGGGTTTTTCTTTGGGCCCCAAAACCATGGAGTGCGAAAACATCTGTTTTGCCCATTTGTGGTAGGGAAAATAGCAGTGAATTTAAAGATCACATTTTGGAACCGACCCTTGGCTTTCCTTGGTAATTAATGGGGGCAATAACCGCGAAGTCGTTGACATGTTTCGTGTTGAGTATCTTTTGATAACGATGCTGAGTGTGTATATTTCTGACATTTTGATTTTTTTTACTTGACCTTTCAGATATTCACTTGCCAGGTCTCAAGAAAGGAGAGGTGTTTGTAAAACTTTTTGTTAAATTATTAAATCCATTTTAAATAGGCCTAGTTAAACCCATTTATTAAGAGTCCATTAAAAGCGACAAAGTATCCAATAGTTAACCTGTTTTGTGTAGTTTACACTATGAAAACCATGGAAATACAAAAATGTTAAATGCTACATTAAATCACGGGTGTGAGTGACCACTGATAAAAATAGCTGAAAACAGCTGAAAAAGGTGTAAAAAAAAAAGCTGAACTTTGGAAATCTCCTATACTTTTGTACACAGCAAGTGAAGGAAAAAAGCTGAAATCCAAAACAAAAAAAGCTGAAATCAGCAGTAAAGCTGAGATTTCACACCCCTGTTAAATTAAGTCAGTCATCTTAAAAGTTTTCAGTTCACTATTGTAAAATGAGTATATGCCAAATAATAGTCATTTGAATTTTTTTCACAGAAATTGGCAGAACACTTCTGTAATTTATCAGCGCTTAATTTTAACCAAATATACTTGGCATGACTGAGTCATCCTTTTTATAGCTCCACGTTAAAATGTAGGTCCTATTCTAAAAGCCTATACGTTTTAGATTCTTAATTTAAAACTCACGAAGATTACCCATCCCCCCCAAAAAATATTTGCAAGTTCTACTTCTAGAAAAGGGTGGGAAATTATGTGCCCAGAGGTGTATTACTTTTCTTGGTGTGATTTTTTTTTAAATGTTCAATGTTTCCTTTTTAATTAAGTTGCAAAAGAAAATTATTTTCAAAAATGTAAATTTTATCAAAAGTAAAATAAGCAAGGTTTGCCTAATTCAAGTTGTTTTCGATGCATGTTAAATTGCTCAGATCCAAGTGTAGGATGGGAAGGCCCAGAAGTGGCCGTTCTTCGAGGAAATTAAACCAAAAACTGAAGATCCATTAAATTCTGAATGGCAAAATCAGCAGGCAAACAAAACAGTACAATTTACCACCTATTAACCAAGATCATATTATCCTAGATATTTTTAGATCTCTTCGTGCAGCACACATGACACATTCAAGCCGGTAACTAATTTTTCTCAATAATTCTTTTAAAAAATGAACTTCAGACAAACAGGCCGAAGGCGTGTTCCATAATCTCCAAAGATAGAAATATTTGGATGAATATGTAGTTGGAGGCTATGTTAGCGTTGCATGCTTCACGCTTCTCTGGACTCATCATGGCGAAGTCTCGGGACCGGGACCGGCACACACGGCCGTCCCATGTGACTCAAGGTATAGGAAGAGAATACAATTGTCATTCAGAGCACGAATCCAATGCGGTGGTCGTGTTGTTTATCAAGCCATGTTTTTCAATTGTGGAAACCGAAGTTGTACAGAAAGGTCCCAAGTGTCAAACTCAGGAAGACGATTGTACTACTCATTCATGAAAAAAATAAGCCACCATTTACACCCTTCTTCGTATGTCTAAATATAAAAAAGATTCCTCTGCACAAAACACGCTGCGGGTCAATTGTCAATGAAGGGATCGGCTTGATTTTATGGTTGAGGACAAAATAAACTTCCAGTCGAAAAGTCATAAAATTATATTATTACTTGCAAGAAAAACCATAAAAAGCTTACCTTGAACCGTCGAGGCTTGCTCGTAAAATGAGGCGAGCAACGTCTAACTGCGGAGGGGCGGGCGGGCACGACTATAGGCAACAAAATATTACTGAAGAAGTCCACATGTGTGAACCCCCGTGTCGTGTGTATAATATGTAAATGAGCCAGATACGTCATCAGCCGGTTGGCCAGTTACATAGGATGTGAGTCGTTGGGTAATCCGAGTATGCGCAGTTACTAATGAAAAAGACGGCTGAAACTTTTCTTTGATGTCTTGTAGCGTCATTGTTCTGTTTTTATTTTCATATCATCTGTGCAACATAAATTTACCCTAAATTTCGGAGGGCTAAAAATAGAGAATGTGTTAAAGTCTGTGTATTCCCGCAGGTGTTCGAACTCAAAGAATAGATGCCAGATCTGCAACATGTTGCTGTCGTGAGAAAACCATGGGAAACGTATATGGTCCTATTTTGTCATTCTGAAGGAAAGCACAATGAGGCAAAGGATATCACACGCGATTCCCATAATATTTTTGTAACTGCTGGCGATTATGTTTGAGCACGGGTTTGAGCATGGGTTTGATGCATTAAGAAAAATGTGTTACGCTCTTTCATAGGCTGACTTTGATTAGAGGTTACCCTGTAAAAACAGACAGCCTTTGTTCCTGGCACGATAATTGGGTCAGGTGATTAGCCCAGAGGGGGTGATAAACCAATGTAGACTTTAGGTCAAAGGTTTGGAATTGCTTTAACAACTTCAAACCCATGTTTTCAGAACAACTTGTGGCCTTCTGTAGTTGAGATAAATGATAACAATTAGGCCTACTTGGTGTATTGTAATCCTACGTATATGCCGGTGTAACGGTTTCCGGGCAGTCTTCAGCTCACTTCTGAAGATGACTAAGCACACACAGTCTCACCATACAGAAAGGACACATGGTCTCACTGGATATGCCCGGTCCTCTTGCAGGCGTTGTGAGCACCTTGTTCACAGCCAAAGGGGACTACTACTAATCGCATTTGTAATAACAACATCAATGTCCCATCACCCGACCATCAGCCGGGCGCATCACAATGAGGAATAGATTTGTTTTCCTTTCCCGATGTTCCCTCGCTCGGGCAAGAGCGAGCGAACTATGGCCGTAAAATTGGAACAAGTGCCGGCGGATTGATAGCCGGTGATTGCGTATTCCATGTTTTCTTCCATTGTAAATCACGTTAAGGAGTCAACATTACGTTTCTGTTCCTGATGAGAATCCCAATTGGTTTATTCTTTGAGCTTATTGTTTAGGCAGGTAGATCGCACAAGAAATCTAGGCTGCCTCCCATTTCTTTTTTTTTTGGGGGGGGGGTATTTATATATGCCAGTCGTTTTTATAACATTTAGGGCCTACGTGTACTGACATTTAGGGTCTACGTGTAGTGACTAACACAAAAAAAAATTCAGAAAAGAGGGCTAAAACCGTAGCTCCATGCTAAACTTAGGCAAAATAACTGCTTGTGAAGGATAATGTACCAGAACTTCGGAGTATTGTTTTTTCCATCAAAAAGGTAGTATTTGCAAATGTATTGGGCCATCGGCGTTGCAATGTGATTGACATCGAAGCATCCGAAGCTTTTACGGACATATTGGAAACGTCTGCGCTGCATCATGGACAATTTGCGCCAAAAAGAAGAATTTTAGGCCTAACTCCCCACGATGCACTTTAACAATAGGTGTAACATACCTCTTCAGTGCGAAGTTCCGGCCGGAGAACTATCCGTTTGAAAGTCTGGGTGTATACGTGTATGCACTGTTATTCGTGTGGGTTTATCATTCGCCATCAGGGGCGGATTCGCAGTCAGGATGGACGTAATTACTCTCAATAAAAAGAACAACTTATTTCTGCTTTCCTAGGGGGAGGTCTCAGGTTAGGCCCCCCCCCCCTTTTTAAGTCAACCATGCATTACAGATAGATAACACATTTTGCAAAATCTCAGATTTTTTAGTCCATGTACATAAAACAACAATAAATTTGTTTTTATTAAAGTGAAACAGGTGTCAGAGGTTTCCTTGAATCACACCCCGAAGCCGAAAATGCACATACATGAAAAATAACAAGAGGAGCTAAATCCGGCTGCAATCTTTGAATATCCGATTGGAAATATCTTATTTATGTACAAAATACAATGCTTCACTCCATCTGTGTAAAGTGAGTGATTTCTCATTTACATTTTCAACCAATATCTTCCCCGTGCGAAGTGTGCTGAGGTATAGCAGTAGACATACTCATTTGAAATGCTCAAGCGCCCTCAATGTAATTTCGCATACATTCTCCATTACTTATTGTGTGTGAAAACACTACTTGAAAGAAAAAGTGTATTATGGGTTAATATACCGGTCTAGTATCAGTCGTTTCCCTAAAGTACATGAGCAAATTGTTCACACATGGTGTCGTGGAATATGCAGCTAATCGTATCTCTAGCTCTATACATGCACTTAGTGCGTATTCTGCACATGTGTTATCATGGAATTCTTATTTATGGAAGAATGTTCCTGTCTTTATATTTTCGGTAACAGTATACTTTCATGCGATCTGTTTCTAATTCCCTCAGAGATAGGAACTCGTATTCAATATGTACTATTGACACGCAGCGGTAGGTGGTCAGGGCTGGCATCGGTTTGATTGGGAAAGTAGGACAACAAATGACCGGCCATTTCATGTTGGTTTTTTGTTGCCGTATATATTTCTCTGAAAGCGTATATCAAACCGTCATGTTCTGGTATATGTTTCTTCATTTGATCCTAGGCGTATACGCGTGTACATTACATTGAGCAGAACGCATGAATGGGTTATGACGTACGACATCTAGGATAATGCTTTCTAAAAGCAATAATTTCCAAGAGGAAATGAAATTTTATTGCAATTGCGATGAAGGCTAATAAAAAATGCGGGCCAATTTTACCTTTGAAATGACAAATTGAGATGATATCTTTGTCTGCGAACATGCGGGTGGCTATCATAACATTGGGTTTCAATCCATTTTTAATTCTTCTTGAACAAGCAGAATTGCTTTTCGGGCACTTAACAGTTCAATACTAAATTGCGACATTACCAATATTGTCAAATTAAATGATTTCTTTCTTGTGTTAATTAAGTCCAGAAATTGTGCTTTCATGTACCAGTATCTTTGTTATTTTATTGAAGTAAACATACAATACAACTATAAATGAAAGCATTTAGACATTAACATAAGCCATTCGTGACCAGTTTGGCCTTTGCAATATTGAATTTAGATATTAAATCCACACAAAGAAAGCTAACGACACTCACAAACACTGATCTCTGATCCAGGCCTTCCACCCACAGAAAATTACAACCGATCTGCACTGGCGCGCCCGTATTTCTTAAGTCAACCCCACTCAATGCCGCACACAAATCACTCGCCAGAGCAAAATTTCCCCAAAGCCGGCTGAAATTCAACTCTATCATTAGAAGATTGATTTCCATATTTATAATAAACGCCAGAGACGCGGAGGGACCCGATGGGGACTGGTCGCTCGCTGCAGGCTTTTTTTTTTCATTTTCGGTGTTATACAAGAATTTCATTTACTGAGTATTGTGGAGACGGTCTCGGTCCCTAGTCGATCGGGCGTAGCGTTCATAAGTCGCCGGCTCTATGAATCTTGCCAAGTTCTGGCAGGTAATCTGGCCGGATCGAAGATTTGTGATCGGAATTTTTCATTTTTGGGTTGCTTTCTTCATCGTCCGATCCTATCACCCCGTGATTGGGGTGTCTCACAGCAAGGGGGGGGGGGGGGGGGCAAGGCAACTGGAACGTATCAAAAAAAGGAGAGAAATAGCAGGCGATGTTTATAAACATATTCCGCGGTATATAAACGCAGCCGACCGGCAGATTTTTCATTTCTAAATTTGAAAATTAAAAATGAAGCAAAACCGTCTGAGCATAGTATAGAAACTGTTTAGACAAACACAAGATGGATAATGTTCGACATGAACAACATACCAAATTGTGCTGCAATATTTTGGCGATAAAGCAATGCAAAATGACACATGAGTTAAACTGCCAGTGTTGTTATTTCAAATATCAGAAATTTACATTTCAGAAGTACTGATCATTGAAATGAACCAAAAACTAAGTTAAAATCACACTTCGGTGGAATGCTTCAAAACAGTCATAAAACGTTTTGTTAAATTCTTATGTGGAAATATATTAAGGCAATTCTCATTTGTAATCAACCACTTCCTGATCTCTTTTTGTTCGGAAATCTTAACCTTTTTTTCTGAATATTTAACGAAAAACGGATCTTTCTCCAAAGAAAATTGTAGGGAAAAAAAACAGAAAACTGTCAACATTAAATTTTACAAACTTCTCTATAGTGAAAAACACACACAAAAAAATCCCATCTTTGGCAAATAGAGTGAGAGAGTGTTTGGTAATTGTATCGCTTGGATAAGCATGAGTAAACTTTCTTGTAAATTTAATGTTATTTAATCAAAATAACCGAAACACACTTGGAGATACCTTCAACGCATAATGTGTATACTGGTTCAACTGGGCTTAAACTTAAAGGGAATATACAACATTTGCAAACATCGAAAAATAAAATTACCAAGTTTTTACGAAATACCTTAATAGGATGTTGGTAAATGACAGTCTAAAGCATCCTGTAAAATTATGGCACCTGGTATACTGTCATTTTCAAGAAAAGTGGTATTTTTGTATCAATTTCCAACGCTGATCGGCCGATCAGCGTTGGAAACAACTGGCTTTTTTTCAAATACTGGCCCCAATTGACCATTGCACTTGTTTGCAATCGATTACAAATCTATGAACGGGTACGAGCCAGCTAGACTGGTTCCCTGACCTTACAATTCCCCAATGTATGTAAACTGCTCTGTTTCTTCTTATATGGAGTCAGGGAACCAGACTACAGGAAAATGATCGTTTTTCTTGGTTTTTATAGCATTTTCGAACCCAAAACCTCCAAAAAGTCAGTGTAACTATATTTGCTTTATATTTCCAACCCCCAATTCCATCCATTTCTGAAAATTACAGCAAAAGCAAATGATGTATATTCCCTTTAAGGGCCCATGACATTTTTTTGTGTTGTTTTTGTGTGTGCAATCCTTGAAAATGCACCTTTGTGTCCCATTTAACCTTATTTTCAATTTTCGTTTTGCCATTTTCAAGGGTATTTTGATGCCTTCTTTGTTCTTATGTGCTGATGTAAATTTCCATATTCATGAGCAAAGCTGTGATGTCATTCTGGACAGAAACCTCAATGTTACAGCTTTTTCAGCACACAAAATTACTAGAATTTTGGATGTTTCGCTGTCGTAAATGTTCTTTTCTTTGGTGATTCGTTGTTGTGTCAGTACATGGAGGTAAGCCAATGAGCAAACCTTTCTCTCAAATGTTTTTAATGAGCACATTTTGGGTTCACAATTTGAACAGAAAACCCCTCAACTGAACAGTGTCTTCCTGAAATGACATCACAGCAACAGCGCCCTCAGTTGCCCAGAAAGGCATGAACATTTTTTTTAAGTTAAAAGAAGTGCACTTTTTAATAAAATTAACTAAAATGGGATGTCTATAGTTTACATACATTTAAGAGGAGTAGAAAGTTGCAAAAAAATGTGTTCCAAAGAAAAATTCACCGCATGAGCCCTTTAAGTTGCTGAAGTCGAAGCACGGGTCATAGGAATGTCCTAAGCCTCTCTTAATGAAGACCGTGTACATAGAGACAACACACTCGAGCCGGTCATTACAGTGGAATTTCAGGCGTTTTGGTTGTCCTTTGTACGTGCCGATGGTTCCTGAACCAATTAGACAGGCCCACCACCGCCTCAATACCCCCACTGTCCATCCTGGAAGCATTCCGGGCTTCAGTCCACTTGTGATCCGGTGTAAGCCTCTTCAAAACGATTCGGCTTGAGTAAATAATCAGTGATAATCTCGCACCTTTTTACAATATAGACCAATCCCGTCACGCTATATCACTTCTATCACGGAGGACCCCGTCAATGGCGAAAGCATTGTGCTCGCGATTGTTCAGGATTATGTCATGGACCAGTTGCTGTGTACAATAGCTAGCACAATTGTTTCCATTGGAGGGGGCCTCCTCCTTGAGTGTACAGTGGTCACGTGCCTGATTTGTTTACAGTGAGGAAAGTGAGCACAATTGGAGATCGATAGACCTTTATTATATGCTGCCACCATTTTAGTCATGTTCCCTGTGTCCAATAACAGTACCGAGTGATAATGTTTTTGTGCGAAAAGGAACCAGACAATTTTTTCCTTCCAGCCTCGCTTTGGTTACGTTGATTTGAATGGGAAAACTCAAGATGGCCGCACCATGATAATGGTCTATTCCAAAACCCCAAAACAAAGGAATAGAGAATCAAGACAGAAAGACAAACAAGAATTTACAAAAGCCCTCACGTTTGCCTAAAATCAGGTGCAATCAACCTACAACAGTATCTCGTTTTCCATCCTCACAATTACATTTTTATGTTAAAATTTTAAACGAACGCTCGTTGACTGGGCACCATTAACTTGAAATAAGTGTCACCTAAATGATCATCCTCTGACCGTACCTCATCCTCATTCATTTTCACTGATGTGCACCATGAGCACTTGCTTTAATCTAGTTGCCCAGGCTAAAGATACCGCGTTCCAAGCTCGACACAGTAATACTTCCCCAATTATGATACATTTTTTTTCAAAGATCTCATATTTTTAGTAGTATTAACATTTGCATCTCACAATTTAAAAACGGATAATACATACATGTATGTACATTCGATTGCATAATTCACTAAGAAGTATAATCAAATAACAAAAACAAAGGTAAATGGAATTTTCCTGATTGTGTCGTTCTCGTGAAGACAACGGGGGTTAGTGCACGGCATTGTTACTTTAATATTTATTCTTGATTTCAAACACAATCTCTCAATTTGCCTTTACAAAACAAACTTCTGGTCATAATTGTTATCATCTGTCGATGAATCATTTAAAATCGGACAAAATGTCTCTATTAAAACCAAAAAAAGAGCCGGCTGTCACGGTGGTAGCTTTCCCACCGGCCCGATGACCAGCGGTTTACAGCCGCAACGGACCAGCAGTCGCGGTCGCCCGGCTCACACACAAAATACCCGCCCAAACAAATTTTACGATCGCATTTTACTACCGTCTCGTCATTTTATGGGCCAACATATGGCCGAATGGTGGAATTTTCGGCGAAGAACAAAGGGCTAGGGGTTAGGGAGCATTCACAGGGCTAGATTATACACCCTCCCTGCACCCTAACATAAAACCAGGGGGTGTGTGTTGGTTGCAATGCTGGAAACCAGACACATAGATACACTCGAGTTTCTGTTTGTACAAGTCTCCAGGAACTCGGTGCATTTATTTGTACTCGATCGGGTTATGGAAGGTTAATATTAACAGAATGTCGCTAAACGTGGCCATATATTCATTGGAAAGAATTTCGAAAGTGTCAAAAGTCTGACATTTATGGCAGAAACCCATACATGCGTTAGTTCCTCATTCTTTGCCTACAATGCGTTCCGTTTATTGTATTAGCCCATGGCTGCAAATACAAATACACAGGCGGGTTGCAAATACTCCGGACGATAGTATTGCTCAATTTTATGATAGTGTCGAACTCCCCTTACAATGCTATTTCTTGTCATCACAATCAGTATTGGAGTGTGGTACGATTTCTTCATATTTTTCTTTAAAAAATGTAGACTTTAGCTTATCCAATTATACTGATTATAATCAAAACGGAAAGTCGCAACGCTAAATCATTTGCTTTTTAACGGAAGAGTAAAATCCCCTCTGTAATTCATAATGTGATAGCGGTTATATAAGATCTGTATTAAAATGTTCAAAGTGTTCAGAAGACCATCGGTGCGTCTCTGTTCCGCTGTATAGTTGTTCATTGTATCTGTGGCTTCTTCTTTTATTTTAGCGAACATCAGCTCTTTGTGTCACGCGTGCACAACTCCATATTCTGATAGTGTAAATAATTGAAAATATTTAAAATATGATATTTGAAAGAAATTTGCGGCCGTGAAGTCCGTTCTGGGTCGCCTTATTAAAAGGTTCCTGAAGAAATTCGCAAACCTTGGTTTAATTTTTTTTTTTCAAATCGGTACTTTATTTGAGCGTTCCTACATATAGGCCTAGTTGTTACAGCAATAACTTCGATTTTAGGCGAAGTAAAAAAAAACATGTTTCTCGTCCCCGCCCGCTTCCTATTTGGAGGCCGCCTGGATTTTTTTACTATTTTTTATTTTTGAAAAATGAAAAATTCAGTAAAAAAACACCGAAAAGTCCACGGTTAAAGCAAATGCATCTAAAACTGTTCATGGTAGACCAATACAACTCTAAATGACACTGTAAATATGTTCAGTTCTCTTGTCCAACTTGTCTTTCATTTTAAAGGTGTAGTTGAATAGTTCCAACGGTTGCTGGACATTTTAAAAATGGCGGCCATCTTGAAAAAATAAAAAAAATAAAAAGCCCCTCTTTCTCCTTTTTTTCAAAAACCCGGACGAGAAACATGTTTCTTTTTTTTTATTCGGCCTTATATGTGTTTTATAAACCCCATGCTGACCGACTGTTGCAAAATGCAGTTTGATGGAAAATCCAACTTTATGTTGTTTGCTGTCAAAGACAAACGAATGCCTTTATTACATGGATTGCAGTCGTCCAGGGCAAAAATTAACTCTATAACAGTCATTCATTATTGTCATCTCCTCTTTGTTTCAGATGCGACGAATAAATGGACTGCGTGTTGCCCGTGATGGAGAGCAATAACTACTGGACCATAGACGCTATGTGGAGCTGCCGAACACACAATGTGCCGAATACAGAAGATTCGCTTAGCGAGAACGGGATACCAAAAAATGGTATAAAATCAATGGTTCTTTCAGGATTTACAGATTATTGTGATCTTTCAGACGGTTGTCAGACACTGGTGGGTTTTTTTTAATCTCTTGCTTCTGCTTATTACTCGTAACAATATGTCCAGTTATGCATTTAAGGCGTGGTTCTAGACCGCTTTTTATCTGATTATTGACAACATTTTCGTTGGGCTGGCCAGCCGTTGCAGATTCAAAAAGCAGGGAGGGGAGGCAATGTCCCCTCTAGGTTTCTTTTCATTAAGTATTTCACGAGTCCGCAGAGGGGGAATGGGGGTGGGTAGCATCGATTTAAAATTAAAATAAAAAAAAATAAAAATAAAAATTCACTCCCTACTTATTTGATATTGTTTTAGTACGTGCCACCCGATGCATTTGGACACGTCACTATTTTTTTAATTCATGCTGTAATTATATGTAATTCCAACATTCAAAATTTCTAATAGTATACAAAAACGGAGAAAACAGCACAAAACATTTGAATGCACCGTTGTTATGTAAGGCTAAGGGGCGTTAGCCCACATGTTTGCATTACATGTACAATTGTATCATGAACAGCGCCCTAGTGTGATGTAGAATCCATCCTCCCCCCCCCCCCTTCCCCTGCCCCGCTTTTCGAATTTCCACGACTACGGTGATGTTTGCATTTTGCGGCATGGTCATCCCTCATCCCCCATCCCTTGCCGACACAGATTTACTCCGCTGTTCTTTTGCATCAACGCTCTTTGAGTATACACAATTCGTTTAAACAATTTATCCGCCAAAAATAATCCACAAATTTCAAATAAAGCAACATAAGCCCGTTGTGCCACTGCCCAACCCACGTGGTTCAACACCGATATTCAACCAATGTCCGTGCAAAATCACAGTTGGAGAAAGGACTACACCCGTCCGCCTGGGTTCCGGAGATTTTTACCGTGTCGATCGGCACGTACCAACCGGTCCATTTGAGCATTTCCCCCGTGACAGAGATCAACATGAATACATCCATGGCTAGAGTGCCATTAATGCACCGTCAGAATGGGTTAATATGATGTCACAATCGCCACTTTCCCTCGGGCCCGTGCTTTGCAGGAATTATTTCCGTGGGTATATATAAAGTATTGTGCCTCTGGTATATCCCAAAAAAATAATATTAATGGACGTAACTTGTTTGAGAATTTAATGGGCAGTTTCAGTTCAAAACAAACACAATTTAATTTATATCCCACAATATTATGTTATTATAAATAATAAAATAATTATGTGTACAAATTATTCTTGTCGGTGGGATTTGAAATAAAATGTCCAATGGGCTATACAGACATGTGTTGGTTGGTTCATCTGTACTCGTCTTGAATGGCTTTGTAAAACGGTAACAGATATTTAAGATTTCATTTCCTAAAAAAACAGAAGCATCATTAGTGAAATGTGACTTCCTACTACTTTGTGGTTTATCGTTTATTATTTTCCAGGGTTAAAACCTGGAATGTCAAAAGCGAATGAAAAAGTTTGTTATCTTAGCTGCAATTAGTATGGGTGTTGCCCTTCATCGACGTCATTTGAAAAGTACCGTTCCACCGTAAAGTAAAGAGCTTGCAATAAAGGAAAGTCAAAAGCTTGGTTAGATGAGAATCGAACCCAAAACCCCTGCTGAATGGTACGTGCAAACGGTCTTACCTTTTAAAGTGTTTAAAATCTTAGAACATTTTATTATAAAATATATTTAAAATCTTTGATGTCTTAATCTAAGATTATTATAATTTCTCTGTTTTTGAGATGACAACAACAAGCGGATTGTTTGTTGTGGGGATTTTACAACTTTTTCGTGATAATAATAATAAGGCAGATTACTCAACTTCTTCCTCCACTTTCACTACATTATTCTTTAGAAACTGGTCTCGAGTTTAGAACGATATGATATCCGCTGGTCTCCGCTGGGGGTCATAATCGTAACACGTATTCGCGCCCAAAATCCGTGAGACTTGGTCCCCTCCAACCGAGTAAATCATATCTGCATAACACTTGCTGCATAGATGTCATGCAAGAGGCTGGCCAGGATTCAATCACACGGAACCGGGTCAAATGAAAACGGTACAGATCGAAGTGGGTCAGGTATCTGACAAAGGGAGCCCAGGAACTGGCCGTCATTCTATAGCCTCAGCTGCCGTCGTGGATTGCTAGTGATTTGATATGGGAGAAATCGGCACCAACTTGCCCCAGCCTCCATTAACATCAATTCTAATAAAGACGCAATTACCTTTTATTGCTATAACACGCATTACTTTGGGGTGTATTATTAAGAGACATTTTAAGGTTGGTTCGCGGTATACAATGATTCACAGACTCTTAAATGGGTGAAAACACTTTAATAAAGTCATCATTTTTAGAAAAAAAACATCTGTCTGTTTGATTCTCCATCAGTCACGTAAAATTGAGCAAATTATGATGAATAACATGTCTTGAAGATTGTCTCTAATAAATGCTACGATAGCCTTTCAGTGGATTGGGTAACTGTATGCCGGCTTTTTATGTCCAGATTATATTTCACATATTTCATGTCATCAGTCAGATTCTGCCAAAAAAATTGACGCATAGAGGAATGTGAGTGAAGCAATTAATTTTTATTTTCATGTTTTAGAGATAGGTTTGAAATAAACGGAAAATCAAAACCTTTTCTATCATTTCCTGTCTTCTTTTGTTTTAATCGAAAATTGCTTTAAATTATTTTAACTTTTAACAACTTTAAATTCATCTGTTTTTGGATTTCACGATCAACTAAACATTTTCAAGTTTGTTTTGACGATTCGAGTTGACAGCACCTCACCGTTACATTAGTGAAGTATTTAATATTCTGCTAGTGTTCGATTCATCTATCTCAGATAGAAATACAACAGACACCGGAAAACTATTGTTTTGTTTTGATCGTTATCGATCGAAATGGATAAACGTAAAGGCAATAGTGCATTATATACATCGGCCAATTCCTTTGTTGAAATGGTCAAAACAAAAGAGCAGCCTTATTTGGTAAAAAATATTAAATCTAACTAAGACAACGCGTAAAGAAGCATTGCTGTTCAGATTATTCTCTGAAAAACATGGTTTGCAGTAGACTTTCTCATCTTTAGGATGAGAAGAGAGTCGAAGTTCAGAGGGGACAAGGAAGACTACAAAGAAACTCCATTGTTATCTTTAAAAAAATTAATGAAATGTTTGTTTTGTTGTGTTTCAAAAACATTATAGAGGCACTCAAGACATTACGGAAGACACCGTGTTTTTGTTGGCTTTACTTGTTTATGCCACGTTTATGATGATGTGCCATTAGAAATTCATAGACAAATATAGGCCTACACAGCGTGTTACATTAATACCCATCATTGGCAAATCTAGGGATGGATGTCTTCATTGTCGATTATGTTCCATCGTTCCTGCCTCCCATGGGACTTTGTTAGGCTCCACCCACTCGATCCTAGCCATGTCTTCGGCAATTGTCTTCCAATTAACAAGATGGGCCTGGCCCCGATTCATAAAAAAGGCAAAAAGAGCCAAGCGCCGCTACAAGGCGCGTGCCATTTTTCAACCTGTCTCGGGCCATAGCTCCACCGATAAAACAGTTTAACGACCGGCGTCGCTGCGGCCTGTGCGCGGTCTGTGTGCCGAAGCCTCGGAGTCCGAGACCCACTCACCTCATGACTTCCATTACTTTTCCTTCAAATGCCAAGAAAAAAAGTTGATTGATTTTACATCCGACTCGAATTCTATTTAATTTATTTTATAGCCAAGATTTCCATCAGAGATGAAATCATTGAAGAAAAAGAACGGATCGCGGACAAACCATAACCGAAGTGGTTTAATCATCAAAATTCTGCAGTTCGCTCTACATTTCGTTACCTAGTTATTGCCTTTCAATAGATCATCGTATTAAATCATTATTATCCATAACTAGAAGCAGTGACTGACCCTGATTTACATAGATACAGCCTACGGACCCGGTACCCGCTTCTGACAGTATCTTCACTGCAAGTTTATAAATCGTGAGACAAAGGTTGATCAATTTCATCTCCCATCGTAACGATTTGCAGTTATTTTAACAATTTTTGGTATCTGTCTGTACTAATACGTCCTGCGTCTATCGATCGTGTTTTACTCGAATGTGTTTTATTAAATTCAAATAAGATCGAAAGAATTGACCAAATTCGACCTTTACTAACCAGGGGCGGATCCAGGAAGTTTTGCAGGGGGGGGGGGGGGAGGGGAGGGGAGGAGGGGAGTCATCAGCAAATCAATGCTGAAATGTAGACAGGTTTTTATTATTATTATAAAATATTGACAGAGCCGGGGGTTAACCCCCCCCCCCCCCCACCGATCCGCGCCTACTAACATGGGCGGAGCAAGGGGGGGTGTGTAAGCAGGCATTTGCTGGTTTTTTCTGTTGTTTTCCATTTTTGCGGCCCAAGGCAGAAAACATTACGAACATCCAACACATCGATCTGCTAGCAGCTTGTACTATCATTTCTGCTGAACAAAACTCCTATCCAGTTCGACAGTTACTACCAACACTGTTTGGCACATTTTATTTTTCTCGTGCTGAATCGCACCAATTGAACTGAACGTGGGTAGAAAGACAAAACGGTTTTAACAAACTGTGATTGAAGCTGAACCGCACTAGTAGATCTGAATGACAATTTTTCCCCATGTGTGAATTATTTAAGACGATATACATGCACGAATTGTTTTGCACCAATAAACAAAGAAAACAAATTTTATTTTTATGACAATAATTTGTATATTTATGACAATAATTTGTATATTTATCAGTACGCCAAGGTGTTTCCTGTTATTGTCAGCATTATTGAGGAAACCCATGAAACAAATAATTAAAAACATCGTTTTCCGTATGAAAACAAATCTTATTGTTAAATGTTCTTTATGCGTCTAACTTAAGAGGTTTCACTTGTTACTTTAACCTAATTGGCAATCTATGCCGATTGAAAGTTCCAGCCAGCACTGCCTGCTGACTGAGGTTTGACGAATGTAAACTTAGGTTTTTTGTCGGAAAGAAGTGTATTTGCTAAAGTTAACAATAAACGTGAGATCGGAACATATCAGAAGAAAATGAAGTTCACAAAAATAAACATTTTTTTTAACCTCACAAAAACATGGCTTTAGATAAGAACCTCGCCCTTGACACAAGAGAGATGGAGGTCATGCAGGCCCCCTACCGTACACTAAGAAATCAAAATATTCCCACAAATTGTGATGACTTCGAAGAAGATGTGAAGGCGCTTTCAATCCTTGCATCTTGGTTGACATTAACTTGTACTTAAAGAAAAATTCAAGCCGAAGTTCAGACACATTTTACAGAATTCATAATAGTGACTTCTCCTAGATGTACGTGCACTAACGGTGCGCCTTGGAGACTGGTGCGAAACTGAAGCTGGACTGAAGCCTGTAAAATAAAATAATTCATATGTGCACTGAAGCAGAGGCCATGTCATAATTGAAAGAAATAAAAAAAAAAACCTGAAAGAATTAAAATTACACCTGTACACCGTTCACGCCGTTGTTAACAGGTATAAACACTTATTAGCCCATCCCAATTATTCTGGGGGCTGTTCGAGAATTTAGCATCCGTACCGTCTCGTGGGTACCATGGGATGGGTGCGGCACACATGAAACTGTAGAACATTTAGCTTATATTTGGGATTTGGCCCTTTTACATATATAGGCCCTAACCCATCACACTCTTAACGTTAAAAACAAGTGGGCGACATCACTCGTCTGATTCAATAGAGCGGGTGAGTCTCGGCAGTCCAAGTTCACTTGTTTTCTGTGAACATCTTGGTACCAAACACTGACTAGTCTAGTCACAGAATCACGTGTTTGAATATACTCGATTGAAATTTGCGTGATCGATTGAACGGAAGTTGAGGTCAACAATTTCAATTTTATAATTATAGTCATCAATGCGCCATATTATCAGTATGTTGTAAATTGTAATGCTTTCTTTTCTTTCGAAATACCCATTTATTTTCCTTGATTGGATGGGCCCTGTCGGGACACATAATAAATACAAAAAACAATAGGACGTTACACACGTTGTAGTCCTATACATGGTGCCCGGATGTGCTGTATTCTCGTAAAATCACGCAGGTTTTTTGAGGTAAACTTACACGCTCTATTGGTATCGAAAATACTGCAGTCTGAAATGCTTCGGATGCCTGACGCAAAAAAGGACAATTACTTAAGACTTTTGGTTGCCCCCCCCCCCCCCCCCGACTCCTTCTTCATCACCTGGTGGCATTCCCCAACCTTGAAGAT